TGCTTCTATTTTGCAGAGGAAAAAGACAGAATGCTGAGTAAGTCTCCTTCCCCAACTTGAAGGAAGTCAAAGTCCTCCACGGCATTAGCCATGGGATGAGCATCAGTCCCCTCTGACCATGCATTTCATTTGCTTCTATTTTGCAGAGGAAACAGATGCAGAGTTGGGTAAGTCTCCTTCCCCGACTTGAAGGAAGTCAAAGTCCTCCATGGCATTAGCCGTGGGATGAGCAGCAGTCCCCTCTGACCATGCCTTTTCATTGCTTCTATTTTGCAGAGGAAAAAGATAGAATATTGAGTAAGTCTCCCATGCAATGACAAAATGTCCCACTTCATCATGCTGTGCTTTTTCTTTCTTTTTTTGCAGAGATACGAAAATTACTGAGTAAGTTGTGGTCACTAAATTGAGGGAATTTGGAGTCTTCATAAAGGACTACAAATTGGATGAAAAATCCCCTCTGACAAGCACTGCTTTTCTCCTTCTATTCCAGGGAGACAGTATGAAAACACAGGTGAGTTTTCTGTCCCAAATAAAAAGTGTTGGAGTCTTTCTATATGAGCTGTGGGATGAGATGCTCCTCTCATCACACGCTGTTTGTGCTTCTCCTTTGCACTTTTACGTGCTGTGAATCTGAGTAAGTCTTTCCCCCACACTGAACAAATTTGGGCACTTTCTATGGTATCAGCCAAGGGATGATAATCTGACCCTTCTCATCATGCATTTCTTATTCATTTCTTTCGCAGAGAAACGCACTGTAGAACCGGGTGAGTCTCCCTTTTCAAATGCTGGGGTCTGCCTGTGGGAGCTGTGGATGAGATGTTCCTCTCATCATGCTTTGTTTTTCTTTTTCCAGTGGAACAAACTGAAGCAGGGGGTGAGTCTTCCCCAAACCGAAGGAATTTGGGTTTTCCCGTGGGATGACAAGCTGTCCCACCTCAGCATCCGTTGCTTTCTTCTTTCTGTTCCAGAAAAACCATCTGAAGAATCAGGCTAAGAGATGAACTGCACCTCACAGTAACCACAGGAGTTAAGCTTCATAGACTGCTGATTGCACAGGATACCAAGACCACAAGAATTCCAATGAGAAAGGAAATCCACATTAAAACAAGCGGAGCCAGTGTTTGTATTGAGTGAGAACACTGCAGTTCTGTGAGCCAAAGCTGCCTGAGGGACCACCGAACTCAGGATGTGGGACCTCCAACTCAAATCCAATTGGAAGAAAGAAAACATAGAAAGGGAGAAAATGGGTGGAGAGGGAGTGCCTGGAGAAGATATAGACATTTTGGGAAATAGTGTGATCATGTGTCAGGATTTGTGGAAATCTCACGAGTATGTAATGCTTTTGGAAATATAAGAATGCACACAGAAGGAAAGGGAGAAAACTGCTTTAGGTGTTAACACTGTTCTCTGTCACAATATAATAAAGCATACCTGCTGATGGTAATCGATCATTGATTGTTATCAGTTACTGGGGCCTTGGTTCCACAGAACAGGCTGAGACTTCATCCTGGAACCTAAGGAACGTGGGCTGTATGGGATAACAAGCCGACCCTCATCACACGTTGCTATTCCAGCAGAACAGGAAGCTAAAAAGGGGAAAAGAAAACAAATTAACAGACATAAAATACAAAAGAACAAGAAAAGAAATAAGAATACTTCAAAAAATCTACAAAAATACGAGAATAAATAACAATATTTAAAAAAAACTACAGTTATAATGAGAAATGATAATATCAGCTTAAAAAGCCTCCACCAACCTATCTGAATGGAGGGGGGGGGGCAGCAATGGATGCCATTTGTGTCCCAACGCACCGCTGGGCACACGCAGACACTGAGATTCATCCCAACGCTTCAGAGCTGAATCTGTGAGCCTCACAGAGAGGAAGGAACCCAGCACAGAACCCACAGAGCGACTGAGGGGAGCAGAGCAGCCGCTGCGCTGAGGGATGGGGGGGGGAGGGGCCTGAAAGCCCTGAGGGCCTGTTCTAGGCGGAGCAGCGGTATTTAAGGCGGGATCGCAACCATTTTAGGGGAAGATAACAGTATTTACGGTACCCAGCTCACCCTGAGCGAAGACAGCAGTGATTTTTGACGGGGAGGGCACTAAAGCTCTCGTCAGGGCTCGGACCGCCCCTGTGGGAGGGCCACAAAATGGCGCCGTCGCTCAGTGACGATTCAAAATGGCGGCGGTGGGCGGGAAAGGGCTTTCCGTGGCTCCGCCCCTTCCGCTAAGCCCCGCCCATCCCGACCGTTGTTGGCGGCCGGTGAGCGTCACGTGACTTCTCTCCTATCGGCGGGCGGGGAGGCAGTGCGCTGATTGGTGAACAGCGAAAGGTGGGCGGGTCTGAGTGAGGAAGGGATTGCGGCGATTGGATGAGGGGCAGCCAATGGGCGCGCTGCGCTGAGGAGTTTGAAGGAAGGCGCGCAATGGCGGCTCTGGGGTCCGGCGGGAGCGGCGGTTCCGCGGCGGGGATGGCGTTGGTTGCGCCGCTTCCCGTCCCCGCCGCCACTTCACGGCTCCCGGTCCGCAGAGCTGCGGCCAAGCGGGCGGCTCCCGGCCCTCAACCGGCGGCTCCCGAGCAGGTACGGCCCGCTTCCCCTCCCCGCGGCCTGCTCCGCCCCTCCAGGCCCGGCGTTACCTCAGCTCTGCCCCACAGAAACGCGCGCGCTCCGGCATCGCCTCGTCGCAGCCGCCCGGCCGAGCCCCGCTGCGGGCATTGAGCGTTCCGGGGCAAGGTAACGGGGCGGGGAAGGCGGCTGGCCGGCCGGCCGCTGTGTGGGCAGCGGGGACGCAGCGCCGGTTCTCCCTCAGGGCCTCCGCGTAAAGCCGCGACGGTGACCGCCGCCCCGAGGGCTGGGAAAGGGATCTGCGGGGCGGCCCCGGTCCCTACGGCGGCTCCCGTTGGAGGTGCCCAGCGTCGTCGAGCGGCGTGGGATTTGAAGGGACAATTGAGCGATGTGCGGGCAGCCCTGGGGAACCAAAAGGAGAAAGCGCAGAGGTTGGATGGGGAGAACAGAGAGTTGCGGGAGCAGCTGCGGGAGCTGCAGGAGGCGC